GGATTCAAAATTTAAAACAGCAGGTAGTGGGATAACCACTTTTCCAATGCGTTATCAAGATTAAGGGAACATTTAATGAGGTATATTAATTTTTCATTTAATGTTTGTAAATATTTTGCAAATATCATTTTTACATATTATTCAATATAAGTACTCATAAGTTCAATATAAGTACTCATTCAATATAAGTACTCATGTAACAAATTATTTCTCTCCTTGTATCGCAACTAGATTGCTTAGAAGAAAAGTAGTCTAACCTGTACAAATCAGATATAATCTTCGTTTGTGCAACTTCACGTGGACTGCAAATGGCAACAATATATTATTAGAATAACGGTGTTGCAAGAAAAAAATGTCTAAAATATAAATAATTTTTTTAAATATAGTAGTGAAAAGTTATTTTTGAATTGAGAAATAATGTTTTGTGATCTAGAAATCGCCACAGCTTCTTCATAGAGTTATTAAATTTTGTTATATTACTGACTTTGTGGAATTCGATAATTCTTGGGGATTATGTACTTTAGTGTCCCGATTTCGCCAAGTCTCTTTCCAGAGCTGAATGAAATCGCCAAAGTCGTAGTATTTTCTTTTTAGGAGGAGATTCGTCGAAAAGAGCATGAAAAAAATCGCCAAGTAATCAAGCAGAACACCCGTTCTTGTAGTATTCTGACCAATTGTTCCCTAAATTTCTTGGATTATTAAACATTTGTATGCTCCCATGTGTATTAGTCCAGCAAAGTATCTTCACACATGATAAATTTAAATTCTTGAAAGGATTTTAGTTTTTTAAATTTTTCTTGAAATTGTTTTCTTTCTATTGTTTTTTATGACATCACACCAAATGTCACCTATCGAAGTTATGGAAACTTATGAATTGGGGTTATTACATAGAGGAGTTTTCCTTTTTTTTTTTTTTTTTTTTTTTAATTTTTAATCTACCAGATGGCGCTATAGTCTTTAGGAAAAGGGGATTTTCTCTGTCGGAATTAGGGATGTGGTTGTCTATTTTCTTAATAAATAAAAATAGTAATAATGCATAATTATAAAAATAGTAAAATTAAACATTTATTCAAAGTTTATTTTGTTCCTCTATGGTCCGAGCAGACAAAATTCTCAGAATTGAAATTCTACTATTTATTAAATCCGTATCCAGATTTGATAAAAGAAACAGCATGTATATCGATTTTTATCTAAATTGTAACAAACCTATTTGATAAAATAGTGCTCAAAACATTTTAAGGCTGGTTAAGACTACGATTAATCCACTTTCAGATTGAAACATGTCTGAATGTTCGTCTATCTCCGAGCTTTGCAGTGTAAACAGTTCGATCTTGAAAAACAAATCCTCATAACGGCTAAGGGCTATGTTTAGTTTTTAATAATTTTGATTCGGCTATGTTTAGTTTTTAAAATAGCCCCAAATTTCTTGAATACATAGATTTAAATATTCAGAACAAATCACCTAATTAACATAAAACACGGCTCAATCTTCAGCAATTTTAACAAGAATTAAAAAATAATTTTAAATGCCAGTTTTTGTTATTATTTCTTTTTTATTTTAGAAATTAGTTGACATCCACATAAAATGGTTCTCAGAATTCTACTACATCAATTGGGTAATCGTATCCTTGTAAAGATCACATAAATTAATGATATATAAGTTATTATTAGCGACATGTTAATCTTTTTTCAATTTCCATTTAAATTTGATTAAAATTCTTCATTACCGTTTTCAGAGAGTCGGTTTATAATATCTCCGAAATGATTCGAAGAAATTGTAACTGATCATGATCTTATGGATGATAAAATTTAATAGTAGATATAAGAGGTTACTCTTAATTCATATCATTTTAAAAGAATAAAAAAACAATTTTATCTTTTATTTTTAATAAAGATATAGAAGTTGCGAACGCTAATATATGGAAAGAAAATTATTTATAACCTAGAGTATACGACGATTTTTCAGGTTGACAGAGAGTCTTGGTTGTATAGCATCCTCTATTTCCTGCTTTGTGAATGAGAGAAATTTCCCATTGATATAGAAAAGGAGCGAATATGTATATACATATTTTTTATATTATTATTATTAAAATTTTTAAGTAAGGAATAAAGGTTTAAAAGAGAATAAAAGGTAATAAAGAATAATTGGAGAGGAAATCAAAATAGAAGAAATAAAAAGAGAAAAAAATTGAGTGCAACAAATTATTATAAAATAGCTTCAAAAGAATGTAAATGATGATAATACAAAATTTGGAAAAAACAAAACAAAAACAAGATGATAATAGAAGTGAAATACTATTAATAATAATGACGGGAAATTATAAAAAAAATTTCTCAATATATGAGCCCTAGCCTCAATATATGAGCCTAATACCGTTAACAGAAACTGAATGAAATTTTGGTTTAAGGTATTTTGAGGTATGATCTCAAGAATCATATTAAAAACAACAGTTAAACTCTAAAAGCTACGGTTACAGCGATACGATTTCGAACATTTCAAATGACAACACCTACTTTTTTTAATTGGAATATAATCTGCATTGTGAAAAATCATTAGCATCTTAGGAATTGTACCTGTAGCAAAAAAATCACCGGCGTTAGACGGACTAAAAAGAACAGCGAAAACAAACAATAAAGACAGCGAGGCAACAGAAAGCAAAACATTTTTATGTGTTTCACAAATTTTCCACTGACTTCTTCCCCGCACTGTGACATTTTTGTGTGCAGCAGATGGTGTATAGTACTGAAACGCATGCCATAGCAAAAGAAATCTGTTGAATCTGACATCTGGTGGCATCGTTAAAATCAGATACAGTTTTCGGATTAAATTCATACATTTTAGATTTTACATATTCCCATAGAGAAACGCTCTGGTTCTCGTTAGAGCACCGAAGTCAGGCATCATTGGGCCCGGTCAGTACTTGGGTGGTTGACCACCTGGGAACATCGAGTGTGGTTGGCATTCACAAATTTGGGACCTGAATGGCCGAGTGTCTAGCGCTCTGGCCCTCGGTGCCACAGGTTTCGGGTTCGAATCCCGGCGGTGCCATGGATGTTTGTAGTGGTTCGGAATCCATTTTAAGCCGTAGGTCCCGGTCTCCTATGACTGTAAGAGCTTCACGGAGCCCAAGTCAGACTTCTACCTACGGGTGCTCCATCACAACAGAAGCTGCTTCCTTCCCCTTCAATCATGAGTACGTATGAGCTCGTGGACTTGGCCAGCCAAGTGGAATAAGAAACAACAACAACAACAGAAATGCTCTATCTGACGTCGTGTGGTTGCAAAATGACACTCCGCCATTTGGGAAGTCTTCTGTCAAATGTTTCTTTACACAACAGTTTGGTGACGGAATTATCTCCTATCATTTCCCTTTCCTGTGGCCGCCAAGATCACCCGAACTCTCTCCAATGAATTTCTAGTTATACTTAAAATCTAAAGTGTATATATTTAATCGGCAGGGTGCGCAGAAGATCTACATCCCCGTGGTGCACCTGGTAACACTTTTAGTGGCTAAAAGATCTGCAGCTTGGCATTATTGTTAGATGAATGAACTCTGTTTCAGCATGTTTTTGTTGTATTATTTTGTTGTTGTTGTATGGTTTTTTTTTTCGTTGTTCCTTTTTGCTGTAACTGTTCATAATCAACCATTGGAAATAAAAAAAATTAAATAAATAAAATATATATATATATATATATTTCATCGGCAAACTGCTTGTGATTTGAAAGATGCCATCAGACGTCAGATTCAACAGATTCATCTTGCTATGATAAGTGCTTCAGTACTATACACCATCTACCACATGTAAAATGTCATCATGTACAAAGAAGGAGGTCACTTAGAAAATGTGTGAACATTAAAATGCTTGGCTTTCTGTTGTAATAGAAACTGCATTCTCTGGAGAATTTATATTTTCAGAATATACAGAAAATTTAATAAAATACTATTATTTTTATTATTATTATATATTTTCATACAGCTATTATTTATTTACCGTATCTCTTTCAAATTTCTTTTATTTATATCTTAAGCTATAGAACTTAAACTTAAAATAGCTTAAGATATTAAGCAATTTTTTAGTTTAATATCTTAATATATTAGCTATTAGCTTATAGCTTAAGAGTGGTTAAGCAAAAAATTGGTAAGAATATTAATAATTGAACAAATTTATTATTATTATTTTATTATTTTCATATTTATTATTATTATTATTGTATTATTTTCATTTTTTAATTATTATTATTTTTTCATTTTTTATTTTCATTTTAATATTTTCATTTATTATTAATATTTTCATTTATTATTTTCATTTTTAATTATTATTTTTAATTATTTTCATTTTTTAATTATTATTTTTATTTTCATTTTTATTTTTATTATTATTTTCATTTTTTAATATTTTTTTTCATTTTTTCATTTTTATTATTATTATTTTAATATTTTCATTTTATCATTATTATTATTTATTATGCTTTTTCTTTTTTAAATATTTTCTCGTATTGTAGCACAATCTATTTCGTTCTATATCATTCCAAATTTCCTTTGCAGTCATGCTATATACGTTTGGTCCTATTAACAAATATAAGTGCTGTGTGAATTAGTCTTTCAGTATTTCCACTGTTGAAAACTACCGAAAACTACTACTACTTCCACTACCGAAACTGAAGAAGACTTAGGGCTCTCCACCGGAATGGAAGAGAACTCCGAATATTGTAAATTATTCTCCTCCTCACTTCTTTAAGATCATTTTGATATGAACATCATTTAGGAAGCATGCTACTAAGGATAAAGAATTCCTCTGTTGCCATGACAACAGAGCACAGGATTATTTCATTCCCATTAATAAATACCTCCAAACCTAATTGCAACAACAACAACGTACTCTTTCTGCCAGGCTACTTACCAATTTTCCTTCTGGAAAGACCGATTCGAGCAATTTTCTTTCGGTATACTAGCTGAGCAATTTTTGTAATTATTTATTTATAAACGCGGTCTAGTTCTCCAGTTCCATGACTAGTTCTTTTATGGAAAGTGATCACTAATTCCTGATAATCAATCATCCATGATGGAGAATGATCAGTCAACTGAACTCTCCGATGACATTAATATGTTTGATTCCATTTAACAGCGTTTACCCCCGTCCTGTTTCCTATTGGCGATTATATTTTTCAATAATTGGACGAGATCCACGCCTTCTATCCAAAACAGAAATTACTGGCAAACCTGACTGGTCAGATACGCCCCTGCAAAGAGAATTCCGAAATCTACCTTGCAACCAAACAAAAAAGATTCTGCTGCCCTGGCTGAATGCCGTAGTAATTAAGATCAACATCTTCCTCGACCAAATCACCACCGTTGATAATATTGTAGATCAGGAGTCTCCAAACTAGACCCGCGGGCCGAATCCGGCCCGACAGTGTGATCAATCCGGCCGCGAAAGCGAATAACTTATTGTTGCTGTAATAAGTTGAATAAAAAAAAAAAAAACACAGAATGATAATAACTCGGTTTTATTTATTTGCTGGGTAAAGCGACATAATAAACGACAAAATAATAATAAGCGACAAATAAAAATTAACTTAAGCATAACAACTAACAACTAATTGAAATGAATCCCACTAACATTATAAATTAGTGAACATCCCGCTGTTACCCTCTGTAGTTATACCTACCTATTTCCGCTTTTAACCACTAGATGTCTTCAAGTGTCACGGTCGTATCAAAACACACAATAGTAATTGTAGTAATTGAACCAGCGAATTTAGCAAGCGTATGCTCACTCAGAGCGCGTAGCGACTAGTCTAGAAATCATAGATAATGGCGGAAAAATTAAAACGGTTTTTGGCCCTTGGTACTTATTGGAGTAAACAGTATGGCCCTAAGGCTGGAAAGTTTGTAGACCCCTGTTGTAGATTAATACAGATATTCTTGGTCGCGTAGCGACCTCCAGCCTGCATTGCTAAATGCTGTAACAGAACAGTGGCCTCATTCCCATTGAGTTACAAAGTATTAAAAGCCCAAAGAAGAATATATATCGCCTATCAGAGCGCCCCTTGCGGCGTATAGAAGAAAAACGTTCAGTTGGCAATGAACATCCTGCCCGAGAGGACGCAAGGCGCTACTGGCGCAAAATAACAATCACTCATTTCGAGAGCTAGAAGGGGAATCAGGGCAAGTAAATATAAGTATTTATATTTAAAGGTGTTACCGTTATATATTAATCTTTGTAGTGCTCTGTGCTCGTCTTTGTGCGCTTGTAATTAAAGTGGTGTGTTTTGTTAAATGAGTGTTCTTGTGACCTGACCACACCCAGATCCAGCTGCACCAACAAACAAAACAACTTCATCTACTACATAATTAAATATTTAACTTTAATTAGAAACACAAATTTGAAAAAGAAATTAAAGAAAAATAAATATGAAAGAATTAAACGGAGTGCAGGTGTTTAATAAAAACAGTTGCATATAATCGAGGAAAAAATAAAAAAAAAACACATAATGAGTCAAGATCAAATTAAGAGGAAAATTTCTGGGCGTTTTCGTCTAGAAGGTTTTGGGGGAATCAGTCAGAGTAGAGGATAATCGAGAGCTCAATGCGTGAATGAAATAGTGACTAAGCAAATTGAAAGGAGGAGGAAATCGTAACTTAAAAAGGACATGGTGTATTCGTCTAAGTGCTTTGTTCTCAAGCCTTTGTTATGGTTTCAAAATTAGTACGTGCAATAGAAACCCAATCTGGGTTTGCTTAAGCTAATACTGGACGAAGATAAGAGAGATATATTAGTATTTTAAGATTAATAGATAAAGCAGAGTTTCTACTCATTAAAGAATAAATAATTCTAACTTGAATATTAAATTTATTTCTAAGATTGTAGGTATGCGATCTGTAGTTAAGTTTACTACTAAGTATAATTTCTTAGTATTTAGTTTCTTTAGACCAGAAGATATATTTATAAATTTTAATATTAGGGGCGGGGAGGGGGAGGGGGTTATAGATTTTTTTTCCAGTGAAAGTCTTTTCAGTCTTGTCTACATTTAATTTTATCTTCCAGTTGATGAACTATTTTTCTAGATCAATAATGTAATTTTTATGGATGGTTCAAGTTTTCCAACCTTGCGTGAGGATTGCAGTGTCGTCGACATACAAATTAAATTTGATATTTTTTTTTTTGCGGAATATCGTTGATAAAGATATTATAGAGGAAAGAATATAGCCTTGGGGGTCAATAGTATGAATATCAAGAATTGAGGAATCAATATTCCCTTCTGCGGCAACAAAGTGTCTGTCTGCCAGATAGTTACGAATTACTTGAATCAAATAAGGAGAGAAATTGTAAGAAATGAGTTTGTAAATCAATGCATTAACCCAGACTCTATCAAAAGCCTTGGCCACATTAAGAAAAATTGCAGCAGTTTCATGTTTCCAGGAAAATCCCTCAGCAACACTTTCTGTGAGATTGTAGCTGATGAGTTGTAGAAAGTTTTCAATCAATTCCAAGTTGGGAGATGAGAAGTTTCTTTTGATTTTGCACACTTTTAAGGAGATTCAGGATGACATTTTCCGTTAGTTCATTGATAAAAGACTACGATTCATATGCTTGAAGATAGTATTCGGTGCTATAAGGAAAATAAAGCTGCTTGAAAATTGCAAGAAACAAAAACGAAGCAAAGATAATGATGGCTTCTTTCTGCAGCCTAAATGGCATACATAACTCTTTAATTTCCTTTTCAGAAAATGATTCTAATGATGATTCGACCAAGAGATGGCAGCACAAGACGGAACTTCCATTACTAAAATATTGAGAATTCTGCCAATTTTTATTAAATGCAGGAGTGATTGGTAAGAAACGCTAAACATTCTACGTGACGAAATTCATCCTATTAATGGACAGTTCTCAGGCGAATTTGTGCGATTAAATGTAGTAACAGAAAATTATTTTGACACCTCATTAATTTTC